GAATACTTGACAGAATCAGCCTCATAAAGAAAGGCTGTATCCCGGCTCATGGTTTCAGGGGTTTTGAGTCCATCTTGATAAGGAGGCATGGCTTCTGGAACAGTCTGAGTAGTAGGAGTTTTGCTGTACAACCTGTTCACACCTTAGGGATTCAAGAAGCAGAAGCAACAAGACCAGAAGGTGGATGGGGTTATCACCCTCCTGGCCCAGCCCAGGGACCCATCACCACCAGCAGACCCCACCACCAACGTCACCAGCTGGAGTCGTGTGTTCAAATGCACAAACCTCTTGGGGATTTTTTTTCTGATTCAATCACTCCAGATTCCATGAGCAAAACATTAACTATTCAACAAAGGAAGTGTCATCTGCCTTCCACTTCAATAGCTCAGCTCCATGCAGACTGCAGACAAGACCCTGTAATCTATATGTCCCCTCCCCACTGAAAAGACAGTTCTTGAGGCAAATCTATCTCTGGGAGGCAGCCACCTCCTTCCCTCATTTATCTGGGAGGCAGCTCCCTCCTCTCCTCATTTAAAGGCCATCCCTCTGATCATTCTGTTTATAACTCAAGATTCTACCAAGGAAGAATTTCCATCTCCTTTATGGAAAAATTACTTTTCTATTTTTTTTGCATTTAATGTAGATGTTAATGACAATCATTACAGGCTTCCAAGTCTTGTAAATTACAAAATGACATTGTTTTCTTTTTTTTTTCAAATGATATTCAGACTCAAAAACCACAGGAAATAGAATTTTTTCAGTCTAGCATTCATAACAACATGGAAATCCTATACTCCTTTGTTTCAGTTTCTTTGCAGAAATGGCCCTTCCTGGTGATTAGCAGCTGGCTTGATCTCTGAGGACGTTGAACTTAAGGATTACAAATGACCTCAGCAATAACAGACTTATCACTTCATTCTGGGAAATTGCGGCAGAAATATCCAACAGGTGATTCACTGGACTTGAATGGCATTTACACTGTCAACTTGATCCCGCCTGAGGATTCTCCTGATAGCCCATCTGCCATCATGAGTATGTGTGTACACAGGGAGGGGGCACAGGAGGACACTGGGTTTTCTGCGCTTTCACTTCCCACTTTATTCCTTTGAGACAGGGTCTTTTACTGAACCCAGTGCTGGGCAGCGATCCCCGTCTTTGCCCATGACAGTGCTCAGTTAAAGGAGCCCATAACCATGTCTGGCTTTTACACAAGTGCTGATCTTTACACTTGCACAGTGCTCTTATCCATGGAACCGTCTCCCTAGGCACCTCTTTCTTTTCTCTCTCCCTCTCCCTTCCTTCTGTTTCCCTCTCTGGTTTCGGAAACAAATTCCTGCTTTGTGGCATCAAAATCCTCCTGCTTCAGTACCCCAAGCACTGGGATCACAGGTGTGTGCTTCCATGCTAGGCTCAAACCCTCTGACTTCCATTCCCATTGAGCAGTTCTCCTCTCTCCAGTTCAGACAGACTCTTGCTCAGTTAGAGTAACACCAGCACCAACAAATAAAGATGGGAAAGCGTACTGAGGGCTTGCCTGTGTGTCTACACTGGACCAAGCTCTCCAATCCCAGCAACCAAAACTTCAAGCCTTCTGGGGAGGTCTGGCTGTCCCATCTTACGATGATGATATTGAGGCCAAACAAATTGTGTAATTTGCTCAAGGTTGCACAGACAAACAGAAACAGGGTGGGATGTGACCCTCAGAGCCTCTCTGCCCGAAGACCTTGAACTTTGGTCACCACTATCAACTGCATCATCAATATTAGCAGAGGAAGAAGAGCAAGAGAGTAAGGGTGAGGAGGTAACAGATGTCAAGGAGACACTCCTGAGTGTCTATAGCACACCATAAATTCTTATCAGCTCTGATATTTTCCTATAGAGGTGTGAGCTCATAGCATCTTACCCATTGAGCAGATGGGGAAATCAAGGCCAGAAAGGAACAGTAATTTACCAAAACACAGTTAGGGCCAGGAAAGCCTAGATTCTAACTAGGTAGGAGGTAACGGGAGCACATATGGTCCTAACCAGAGAGCTCTGGACTTCCACCTTCCCATGGGCAATCTTTTGGCTAACTTGTTCACTGTACATGTTTTCTGCATCACCCAGGAATAAGCCACAGGGCAGCCCTGTGTGCTTCTGCTCCCCTGACACATCCCTAAGCATCCTCTTTACTTCTGTGGCCTCCTTCTCTGTCCCTAGCTCAGCTTCTGTCTGCCCTGCAGAAATATCCCAATAATTTCCCTCTGCACTCTGTGATTAGAGCTGGGGTGATCCTATTATGTGGCTCAGGCCTTTCTAGCCAGGGAGACTTGTTGCCAGGAAGAAAGCTCAGCTGCAGGGATGCTAACTCAGCCAGCACTGCCTCTTGGAAGGAGATTGCAAAGGCAGGCAGACACTTCCTTTTTCTAAAATAACCAGCTAGGGCTCACCCCCTTCAGTCCTGGTACCAGGAGTCGGTGCACTCGGATTACCTGCCTAGCTGTCTCCTTCACTCAGTTGGGTAGGCTGCCACCCAGCTGGTGGCAGAGGCAGGGTGAACTGTTGATCCAATTTGTGAAAGTTTTACAAATGCCCCTTATTAGCACCTGTCCCTCCCCTGCCAATGAAGAACCAAGCCTCACCTGCTGCAGCACAGATCTGCTTCATATCCCAGCGTCTGGGCTGAGTGCCCGGGCTTGCCAAGGTGCTTGGTCGCTGAGGATCTAAATCCCCTTTCTTCCTGAGCCTGAGCTCCTCCCCTGATGTCCTCTTGGCATCAAGACAATAAAGAGAGCAAAGTCCTTTCACCTCTGTGTTTTATTTCTTAGACGCCATAAGGAAGTGAGTCGGGTTTCTCCCCTGCAGAGTGTCATGGAGATACGGGAAGAAACTGAACCATGGGTCCCTTGGAGCATGCTGGTAGAACACGGTCTCCTTCAGCCCTGGGACGCTGTGTTCTGCAGCCAACTCCCCTGAGGCAGTGCCTTGCAGGCACTGCAGACAAGGCTGACATCTCAAGGCAGGGGGCTCAGAATTCAAATCCTCCCTCTTATTCTTCACCCTCTCCCAGCCTCGGTTTTACCCTCCTCATCTGAGAAATGGAAGCAAGAGCTCCACCTCCTCAGTGTTGGCAACGCCGGAGACAAATTGGACTTTTATACAGCCCGGGCCATTTCTAGCCACTCAACCTTCCAGAGAGAAACCCCAGTGATTCAGACACTCAGCCTTCACCCAGTGCTGCCTCTAAGAGGGAAACATTCAAAAGGAAGGAAAGAGGTGGGCCAGTGGCACAAGTCTGAACTCCTAGCACTACAGAGGCTGAGGCAGGAGGATGTCAAGTTCGCAGTCAGCCCAGAAAACACAGTGAGGCAGACATTGTCTCATAAACAGGGAGGGAGGGAAGGAATGGGGCTTATACTTCCTGTTCCTAGACCCAAATTAAAATGCAAAGCAGGGCTAGGAATGTGGCACTAGCTGGCATGCACCAAACCTGGACTCTATGGCAGTGCCACATAAACCCCTGTGACCCCAGCACTCAGGAGGTAGAGGCAAGAGCATCTGAAGTTCAAGGCCATCCTCAGTTACGTAGTGAGTTTAAGGCCAGACTGTGATACAAGAATCCCTGTCTCAGAAACAAACGTAGTGCAATTGATGAAATTTAAAAATAAATTTATGGGGCTGGAGGGGTTGCTCAGTGGTTAAGAGCTTGCTGTTATTGCAGAAGCTAGTATTGGATTCCCACACCTACTTCAGGTCACTGCCCTTAACTCAGCTCTTGGGGATCCAACACCCTCCAGGGGCCCTGCACTAATGTGTGCAAGCTTCCACATACACACACATAATTAAAATAAAAAACGAAATATTGGGGGCACGCCCCTTAATCCCAGCACTCCATGACTTCAAGTCCAGCCTTGTTTACATAGCAAATTTAGCCAGGGCTACTGATACCCTGCCACAATGAAATAAAATAAAATCTCAAAAATAAGTAAGGTAAAATTTAAAATTTTAAATGCAAAATGGTGATTCTCTAAGGGAGAGATGGGATTTTTCTTCTTCATAAATTGAGGAAAGTCTTTAAAATGAGAGGAAGTGTAAGATGGCCCTCAAGAAGATGGCTTGGTTTGTTTCAAGAACTGTCCTCTTGGGGCAGGGATAGGTCCCCAGCTGTCCAGAGCCCAAGGGACTGGTGGTTCTTTGTACGGAGAGAGTGGGGAGGAAGCATGAGGTAAATGGTCCTTTTGCGGTTGTGAGGCAGGGTTTCTTGACTTCTGCAGTATTAGCATTTGGGCATCTCGTGCATTGTGGGGTGCTTAGAAGCATCCCAGCCCTCTCCCCTTTTCACCCTAGAGACACCCCAAGCCAAACACCCACAAGCCTCGGCCAGTTTCTCCCTTCTGTAGTCTGGGACTCTGCCCTAGACACTGTTGTGATGTTTTTTGTGTTGTCTGCAGGTGCCCTGAACCTGGCAGCAGTGATCGCTCTGGGCGACTAGAGACCGGAGGCGGGGACGAGGGGGGGCATTTCACTGTTGGCTTAGACACCTTTGGGGTTTTTGACGCTATGGCTGTGTAACTTTCTCCAGAAAGGAAACAGATCTTGAAGATACCATATTCTCTTACGAGCTGTGGTTTGGATAGTACTACCCCGTTTCTGTTGTCACAGAAAGCCAGCGCTGCTGTTGGTGTGCAGAGCATGTACAGCCCCTAGCTCCTAGATTTCCCACCACACACACACCGGGATGTCTCGTACCCCACCTACGTGGCTCCCAGCTCCCGCGTCACAACCGCCATCCATGGCCACTGTGCAGGCGCCTCACCTCCACACAGCGCCGCTCTCACATTCGTCACTCATGGTGTGTTCCAGTTGGCGATGAGGACCCGGGGCTGCACGCAGGCTGTGCGTGGTCCTGCTATCCAGAGTGCTGCCGCAGTATCCTTGGCATCCAGCGGGTCCCTGCGGGTGGCGTTTCTGGACAAGGGCTGGTCCCAGTGTGCAAGCACTGTCTCCTTTGAAAACTCCACCCTCCACCTGGCAGCTGCTGCACACCTTGGAGTCCCCAGGGGCTGCTGAAGGCTAGCTCCAAAATGCTGCGGGATCCTAAAGAAATGCAAAGTGAGTCATTCGATCGCCAGGCAACATTGAATCCCAACCTCGGTGAGAGAACACCTGGCTACTGCTCTAGCTGCCTAAAAGAAGGTGTGGGTGGGAGTGAGGACCCTGCAGCACACCAGGTGACCCAGGGGAAGACAGTATGGAGAGTCCTCCAGTACTGAAATAGTAATGGCGCGTCATCCGGCAACCTACTTCTGGGATATCCCACATTCTTCAGAGGGACCTCCAAATATATGAGCATCTCTGTTCTTCCCGGCACCATTTTAACAGAAGCAAACTCAAATGTCCACCCATGATGAACGAAGAAAAAGGGCTGGGGTGGTGACCCAGCCTGTCATCCCAGCAGGATGATGTCCTGTCCATATCCGGGACAGTGAAACCCTGCCTTAGAATAGGGAGGACAGAGTCAGCTAGACTGGTGCCTCAGGCTTATAATCTCAGCAGCTGGGAGACTAAGGCAGGAGGTTTGCTGAAAGTTCAAAGCAGCCAGGGTTAGAGTGAGGGTTTCATAAAACAAAACAGAGAGGTGTGTGTGTGTGCGCGTGCGTGAGTGAGTGCGTGCATGTGTGTGTGTGTGTGTGTGTCTCTGTGTGTGTGTGTTTAATTGTAGTTATTTGTTGGGGGGCAAATGGAGGTCAGAGAACAACATGTAGCAGTCGTTTTCTTTTTCCATCATGTAGGTCCAGCTGGAGTTCAGGATGTCAAGTTTGGCAGAGCCTTACCTGCAGAGCTGTCTCCTTATCTGCTTTTTGAGACAGCATCTCAAGTAGCAGGACAGCCTGGAACTCACTATATAGCTGAAGAGGACCCTGAACTCCGACGTGCTGGGATGATGGGCATGCGTCATAGCCAGCTTGTCTTTAGCAAGGGATTCTTAGTGGAGACTGGCACAGCAGCTCGAAAATGCTTTGTTGAATTCACACAGGAAACAACTACAGACAGAAGAGGGAAAAAGAATGGGAGGCACTGGGGTGGGGGCACCAGATAATAACCTTCTGGAGTCAAGCTACCCAGTGCTGTGGCTCTCCCCCATTAGCTGAGTGAAGAAGGATGAGGATGTTATGTTGTATGTCATTTATTTTTCATTACTGTTTAAGAATTGCGCAGTGAGGGGCTGGGGGGTGTGACTTAAGGGTACAGTGCTTGCTCGGCATGCACGGTGCTCCCGGGTCTGCCTCAGCACCACATAGAGTGTCCTAGATGTCATTCTGACTACTGCAAGGAGATATATGGGACTTCAGGGATGTCAGGGTCCTGGGCCTTCTCCCTAAGGAAGTGGTATCTGTTTGTTCGGTGATCTCAGTGGATACTAACACCTGGTTCTGCAAGCAAGAAGGTCATGATGAGTTGGTAAGACGTAATTCTTCAACATGCCATCCTGGGACTGTAAGATGGCTTGGAGGGTAAAGGCATTTGCCACCAAGCCTGCTGACCCGAGTTCCACCCATATGGTGTAAAAGGAGACCTACCTACCTCCTACCACAAGTTGTCCTCTGATACACACACACACACACACACACACACACACACACTGTAACAAAAAGTTTTAAATGTGAGCATGTTGTGCTCATTGAATCATTTTGTAAATGCCCTCACGGCCAGGCATGGTAGTACATGGCTTTAATTCTAGCACCGAGGGGGCAGGGAGTGAAGGCAGGCAGATCTTTGTGAGTTTGAAAACAGCCTAGTCTACAAAAAGATTTCCAGGCCAGTTGGGACCATGTAGTGAGACCATGTCTCAAAAAAACAAAACAATTATAATAATAGATGTCCTCCAGTTTCTGTCCAAATATCTTCATAAAGAACATAAAGCCAAACACTATTGGAAAGGTACTGACTCTGAGTCACAAAAGGGATTTGACTGGGGTTTTTTTTTGGGGGGGGGGAGAAGCTGTGACAGTTGCATAGCAGCCAGAGATCAGACTCCACAGAGACCCAACAGAACCCTGGCCACCTTGGGAAACACTCATTATAGCCAAGATACAGTTTTAGTCTGCCCTCTCCTGGGAGGATGGTGTTTACACTCTGTAGAGTTGCTTCAAACTTTGTGAAGTTCCCTAGGTGGCCTAAAGGGCATCCATGCCTGCTCTCTGGCACCTTCTTGTGGCCACCCGCATCTGGTGTGAGGCAGAAAAGGAAAGGAGTTAACCTAGACTAAGAAAGGAGCTAGCCCAGTCCAAGAATGTGGCTCACTGGCCAAAGAAGCTCAGACAAGGAGCCTACCTGGCACTTGACATCATGCCCTCCCTCATGTGATAACTCCATGGGGTGGCTTCACAAGTACAGAAACTGAATTGTGTGTCGGGGCACACAGGTACAGTCCAAGCTACCATCGAGGCTGAAGCAGGAGGATGGATTGATTGCTTGAGCCCTGGGCTTCCAGACAGGCCCAGAAAACATAGTCATATCTTGTCTTCGGTTTAAAGACATTCAAATCTAGACACAAAGAGATAGATTCAGACAGGGACAAATGAAACTTGCCTAACATTGCTGACCCATCAGTAAACTACAGAGCTAGTGCTGTAGTCTGGGGTCTGCTTGACCTCAGGGCCACATGACCTATACTGACTCTGTGTCATGCTGTGGATTTGAATGTAATATGATCAGCTGGCATGAATGAGACTCAGACTATATCCGAATTCTACTATTCCACCCATACGAGAATTGTGACTCATGAGAATCACACACCTCCTAGGATAAAACCCTCTCCCAGTAGTCAACACACAGAGGAGGCTCACCAAAGGCTGTGATTTGCCATGCAGGTTCCAGGATGAAATTGGAAGAACCAGACAGTCTTTATTTAATGCTAGTAAAGTATGTCTGTAAATTAAGACAAGTGTCTGTAAATTAAAGGAGCTCAGTGGGTAAGAGCACTTGCTGCAGAAATGGGGACTTGAGTTCAAATCCCCAGCACTCAGTAAAAAGTCAGGGATGTTTGCATGTACACCTGCAGCCCCATTGTGGGGTGAAAATGATGGGGGTGGTGTAGAGAGAGGAAAACCCTGGGGCTTGCTGGCAGCCAGCTGAGTTCTAGGTTCAGTAAGAGACACTGAAAGAGAGACATTTGTCTTCTTCCTTCCTCCTGTGAGAGGCAGCGTCTTGCTCACAATTGCATTCCCTAGCTGGCCTGAGGGCTTCCTGGCTTCTCCCGCGACTCCTTTCACTGTAGGAGCTGAGATTATAGATGTGTGCTCCCGGGCCCAATTTTACGTGGGTGCTGAGGATCAAAACTCAGATACTCAAGCTTGTGCAGCAAGAGCTTTCTCTCCGAGCCATCCCCCAGTCCCTGATGGCAGGCTTTTGAACAGTCCCACAGTTCGGGATGCAGGAAATCTGAAGATCGAGCGGCCCCATGTAGCACACAGACAGCAAGCATCAGCTAACGAAAGCAGAGGAGGTGGACTGTGAATCCCATGAGTCCCAGCTTTGCTCACCTTCAGTCCCGACGCCCTCCCCTCCTCCCTTTCTTCTGTTAATCCTGATGACTCCCCCGCCCCCCAGTGTCGGGGCGGGACTCAGCACCTCCTGCTCACTAAAGCTCTACCAGTCAGCTTCTCTTCTCATCCCCGACCCTAGCCCCTGCTGCCCCCACCCCCAGCTACGGATATTTTTGAAGCGCCCAGGCAATTTGCTTCACAGGAATGTCACAGAGTCTGGATTTGTCACCTTTCTCTGAACAGATGTTGCTTCCCAGCTGGAAACAGTGAGAGCTATATTTTTTTTTTCTCGGCAAACTACCCAGCATGGGGTCTTCTGTTACTGCAACTGGTGGCAGAATGCGGCGGCGGGGTGGGGAGAGATTAGCATATGAAAGAAGCCTGCTGGCAGAAGGCCTGGGAACTCTTCTCCACCAGGAACAAATCAAGCAAGCCCACGGAGCTCTCTGGAGAGGAGAGGACAGATGCCATATAAATGCCCCTGTAGGCTCACCAGCTCGCTACACTTCCAGCTGGGGGCCATTAGCATCTCTATCCTTCCTCAGCTTTCCAGCCCACTTCCACGCTTGGGAATATTCTCTTTCTTAACGCAGTTTCTATTCTTCCACTGTCATGTGTCCCTGCTCCAACTCTTTGTTGAGGGACACGGGAACCCGGAAAGCTCAGCCTGTGCCCTCTGGACCCAGATCTGTTTAACACGCAGCTCAGGTGCCCTGCCTTGGCAGCTCAGGCCCATCCCTGACCTGCAAGGAGGTGACTACAATTCTTTGCTTGACCTGGCTGTAAGACTCCTGGCTGCCTCCTAGGCCAGCCTGTATGCTTCCCCCTGAAGACCAGTGTTAGCAGAGAGCCTTGCTCAGTCAGAAGAAGGGGCCCTTATACCTGGTGTCCCTCACTGTTTGAATAGGACCTTCTTCCTAGATGGTGTCTGTCACCTGATCTATCTGCAGTAATAGTCCATCAGCTCAGCCTAGCCAGATACTCCCTTATCTCCCTGTGACAGCTAGATCAGAATGTCACAGCTGCCCTGATTGGAGTGGGAACCACCCACGGGCTTAATTAGAGAAGTACATTCCTGCTGAGCATGTGATTGATTGCCCACGGGTAGATGCTGCAGACTCTGACCTAATGATATCTTGGTGAGTTCATAACTCCATGGCATCATTGGGAGGTGGTGGAAGGTGGAGGCGGGCCTTGTGGAAGAAGTAAATTATGGGAAAGCTACACTGTGCCCTGACCTGTTCCTTTACGCCATTTCTCTGTTTCCTGGCTGCCTTGATATAAATTAGACTGATGCCTCTGAAACCTCAAGTCAAGATTTTCTCCTTTTGTCCAACATCTGGTCAGGGCAACTTAAGACCTCACATAGCCCTGATATTTCCTCTTAGTGATTGCTCATCAGCAAGCCCCACCCTACTCCTTAGATACAGATCCCACACACCCATGTCATATTAGGAGTCAAACTCACCCCTCTTCCTGGCTGCAAAATCCAGGTTCAGCTAATGATTTAGCAGAGGAATTGATATCATTACTAGGTACATTTGATAGAGGAGGAGATCCAGGTATGGTCATGCATACCTGTAATCCCTGAATTTGGGTAACTGAAGCAGAAGTATTGTAAGTTCAAAGCCTGCTGGGTTCCATAGTAAGCTCTTATCTAAAAAGAAGATAGGGGAAAGAGAAAAAAGAATAGGAAACAGAAGTACAGAGAGGCTTAGTAACACGCCTTGGATCACACAGCTAGTGAGTGAAGCGCCAACTGCTGATCCAAGGCTATCTTTACCCTTTCTGTGAAAAGGACGGCTTAACTTGAGAAAGTTGGAATGATGACACATCAGAACAGAATAGTCTCTCCCAAAAGGAGCCCTTGGACTTTGACACGCTCCTATAGACATACACTAAATGTCTCAGAGGGCAGCTGCTGGCTGTGTTGGGGTCCTGCTGTTGGCAACAATAGCCAAGAGGGAGGTGTCCCTTCCTCTACTCACACACACGCTTCTGGGCCTGTGTTCTGTCCTGTAGGCCATGAGCAGCCTCAGAGAAACCGTGGCTCCTGTCAGGAGTCAGCTCCTGCCTGGGAGATTTCAACCAAATCCTCCCTGGAGACAGAGTGTAGTTAGTGAGAACTGGGAAAATGTAGCAGAGTCCTTGGTAATGAGCAGAGGCAGACGTCCTTAGGAGGTAAATGCTTTCCAGATGAACCAGAAGTGAATCTGGGGTGGGGACCTGGGAAGTGAGGAGCCTACAGTGTGTAGGAGAGAGAAAAGGCATTCCTCCTCTGCCTATTGTGAGGAAACATGGTGAACACTGTTGTTAAAATGTCTAGGTTTACCCAGTAACGAGACACAGACCGTGACTCAACGATCCCACGTGGAGTTTTATTGGTGGACAGGGAAGGAAAGGGGGGTGAGAGGTAACCAACCCGTGTAGAGCAGAGAGAGGGAGAGAGAGAGAGAGAGAGAGAGAGAGAGAGAGAGAGAGAGAGAGAGAGAGAGAGAGAGAGAGAGAGAGAGAGAGAGAGAGAGAGGAGAGGAGATGGAGAGGAAGACAAGAGTAAAAGAGAGTGTAAGCAGGCAGGGGTCAGTCCTTTAAAGGGGTCCTTTGCACCTGCGTGGTTCTCACAGAACTCTGGGCTGGCCAGAGTGCTGCCTGAGTGCATCCTGCCAGGTAACAGGGCAGGCCAGCATAATGCCTGAACTTTTCAAACACTCCATAGCAAAAGGCTAATAGCCAAGAGAGCACCTGTGAGACACCGGGTTCCATCTGCAGCACCATGGAGTAGGTGGTATGAGTTTCAGTCAACAGATGAACCAGAATCCAGCGAAGTCCATCTAGACAAATTCAGAGAGCAGTAGGATCTGTTTTTTTTCACTTTTTTATTATATATTCAAATTAGAAACAAGCTTGCTTCCCATGTCAGTCCCAGCTCTCTCTCCCTCTCCTCCATGCCCACTCCCTCCCCTTTGTCCCCCCAGACCCCCACCCAATCCCCACTCCATTTCCCAGGGAGGGTATGGCCCTCCATGGGGGATCTCTAGAGTCTGTCATTTTGTTCCAGAGAGGGCCCAGGCCCTCCCCAAAGTGCCCAAATTGAGAAAGCATTCCTCATTGTGGGATGGGTCCCCAAAGTCCATTTGTGTGTCAGGGATACACACAGGGATTGATCTACTACCCAAAAACCCCATAGATTGCCTGAGTCTCCTCACTGACACCCACATTCAGGGGGTCTGGATCAGTCCCATGCTGGCCTCTCAGCCATCAGTCTGGGGTCCAAGATCAGCTGTTTCTCTGGGATTCACCAGCCCAGTCTTGACCCTGTGTTAAACTTCTAAAGGCCTGCCCTGAGTGACCTATCATCACCAGCCAGGCCCCACCTCCTAGAGGTTACCCCAAAATAGTCACATCACACCAATGTCCCAGCCCAGCAAGACTGAACTGTATAGATGCCACTCCCTTCAATTAACCTCCCACCCTTTGTATACTCTAACACCTGTGGGTGCCATGAACAGCAGGGACAGAATAACATCCAGCTTGGAGTCTCAGGTGAGGGTCTGGTGTCACTCCTCATGTCCTCTTTCTATGAGGGAACTTCCACAGACCTGATCTGGAGGGTCTCTTTTGGGTCATCACAGCTGCTCCAATGAAGATGGTAATGGCTTGGAGGACAGTTTTCCACAACAGAGGACTTCCAGGGGAAGCACCACCAATGCTGCATCTACAGATGTGGACCAACATAGACAGTGAAGACCAAGACTCCAAGTGGCTGATCCTCAGAAGCATTTTGAGACTAAATCTTAAGTACTCTTCTTAAAACATACGTTTCCAGTTGTGTTCCTGGAAAATTGGGTTCTTATCAAAAGGAAGCAGACATACCAGCCAGCTGTTTGTGCAATACATGGTTCAATTTTTAAAAATTTATTATGCATGCTTGTGTATGTGGGGGTGGGTAGGTGTATGCATTTGAGTGCAGGTGCCTGCAGTGGCCAGAGGTGTCCAATCCCCTGGAACTGGAGTTCCTGTGACCTGCCTCATGTAGGTGCCAAGAACCAAACAACTGCACTCGGCAAAAACAGTACTTTTCTTAATTGTTGAGTCTTCTCTAAAACTAAATGACTTACTTAGGAAGAATGGTACATGTTCTTAATCGCTGAGCCCTCTCTCCAGCCCCTACTAATTTATGTGCATTATATGTGTCTGTGTGTATTTTCCATATACATGTGTGGGCCCTTGGAGATCAGAAGGGGATGTTGGATCCCATGGAGCTGGAGCCACCAACATCTGTGAGCTAGCTGCCTTACAGGGGTTCTGAGGAGCAAACTTGAGTCATCTGCAGAGTGGTATGCACTGTTAACAGCAGTGCCATCTCTCCAGCCATTAGATCAGGCTTTTGTTACCAAGTTCCTGGGAGGCAGGATGGCTGTTGTGTGGGATAGGATGACCTCTGGCTTGGTGCTGGAGAACAACCCTGGCTTCCACCCTTCAGATCAAAAGCATTCCTAGCTCATTAGGGTTTTCAAACTAACTCCAGCAGGAGTCACCCTGCCTGGCATCATGGCCCAAACCCATGTGCTACCCAGATGTGAAAACTAAGGGAAGATGATTTAACTTTGACTGTACAACCACTTAGCAGTTGGGGTGGTCTAATATTGTTAAGTGCATCAATGATGAAGATTTTAATAAATACACGTGTTTGATGTCTTCCATTTGTCTATTGAGAGTCTAGTCAAAGAAATAGTTAAAGTACATGTGTCTAATAAGAGGTTTCAAAATAATGGCTTCCAGCTGGGCATGGTGGCATGTACCTGTCATCCTAGCATTTGAGAGACTGAGGCAGGGGGATTGTAAATTTGAATCCAGCCCGGGATTCAGAGTGAGACCTTGTTTGTAGTGTATGCTTATAATCACAGTCTTGAGAGTGAAGACAGGAGGTCCCTGGGGCTCCTGTCCAGCCAGTCTAACAAAGTCCCTTGCCATTGAAAGAGTCTTAAAAAGAGGTTCATAGAAGGTCGGGTGGTACCGTTAAGTTACTCAGCATTAACGGAGCTTCTGTGGCTATCCACAGGAGGATCTTGCTTCCATATAAAAGGTAGTTTTGAGAGCTTGGGATGCACTGGAGGAGAAAAAGTCTGAGGAGGACACACAGTAGGTCCTGACCATACACATTAGGCATCCCAAGTCTCCCTAAACTTTGAAATGGCTGAGCCAGTAAGAGTGACCTTGACTTTACCACAGTGTGGTGGTTTCAATGAGAATGGCTCCTGTGGGCTCCTATGCCTAAGTGCTTGGTCCCCAGTTGGTGAACTGTTTAGGAAGGATTAGAAGGTGTGGCCTTGTTAGAGGAGGTGTGTTACTGGGGCAGGGTTTGTGGTTTCAAAAGACTTATGCCATTTGGAATAAGCCCTCTCTGGCTCCTGCATGCAGATCCAGATGTATGTTCTTAGCTGCTCCAGCTGCCCACTGCCTGCTACCTCCACCCTGCCATCATGGACTCAAACCCTCTGAAACCATAAACCCAAAACAAATTCTTACTTAGTAAGTTGCTTTAGCTTCGGTATTTTATCACAGTGCTAGAAATGTAACTAATACAAGGAAGAAAGCTCCTGAGGTGTGAGACCTGAAAGTGACCTCTAACCTCTATATACCTGTGCATATGCACCTGCACACACACAAACCACTGTACACACACAAGTGATGATGATGATGATTAACTCTTGTTTCCATTTCTGTATCCCTTCCTTCCTTCCTTCCTTCCTTCCTTCCTTCCTTCCTTCCTTCCTTCCTTTCCTTTGTCCCTCCCTGCTTTTTGACACAGGGTCCCACCATGCAAGCTGGCCTCAAACAACCACACCCAGATCAGTAATTTCTATTTCTTTATTACAAATGCTGTTTCCTGGAAAAGCTGACAATGAAGCCGGGAATGGTGGGACACATTTGCAATCCCAGCACTTGGGAGGCAGAGGTAAGAGTTTAAGGTCATCCTTGGCTGCATAATGAGTTCAAGACCAACCTGGGCTAATGAAACCTCAAAACAAAACAAAAAGCAAACAAACAAAAAAACCCAACAACAACAAATTCTCCAGAGACTGGAGAAATGACAAAGCAGTTAAGAGCACTGGATGTTCTTCCAGAGGACCTGAGTTCAATTCCCAGCACCCACACGGAAGCTCACATCTGTCTGCAATTCCATTTCCAGGGAATCTGATGCCCTCTTCTGGCCTCCATGGGTACCAGGCACACACAAGGTATACAGACATACATGCAGACAAAACATCCATATTCATAAATTAAACATTAAAATTAACTGGAAACAATGAAAAGTGAAAGAAAGTTGGAAAAAGAAGAAAAACAGTAGGAGACAGATTTCTGTTTGAGAAGGAATGGCTCAGGCCCTGGTGATGACACTGTAATTTATACACGGATGAGCTGGTGTAATCCTGAGAACTCTTTGCTGTAGTTGCATCATATTCTTTATTTATAGTTCCATTTTCTTATTTATTTGTTTTAAGACAGGGTCTTGCTATGTAGCCCAGGCTGGACTTGAACTCCAAATAGCCTTGTCTCTGTTTTTGTTTCTAGAACTCTGGGGTTTCAAGCCTGAGTCATCATGCCTGGCAATTTTTAAAAACAATGTTAATATCCTGTATTAATCATCCACTTGGACAGAGAAACTACAAGAACAGAAACTGTGTAAATATCCCGAGGCCAAAAGACACTAAGTGACAAGGGATGAAGAAGGCACAGTATAAGAAAATAGGGAGGGTGTACCAGGGCTTCGAAGGGCACTGGGAGGGAAGCTGGGTGACCTTCAAACAGCCATAGTGACCCTGCCTGGCTGCCTTCACTGTCTCTGCTAAAGATCTCCAGTGCCAGCTGGCGTGTGAGCCCTTCAGTAATTCTCAAAATAGAACTTGTTGTCACCTGCCCTGCTCCTACCACCCCCACCCCTCACTCCCACTTTTTCTTATTTTGGCTCACTGGCCTTAAGCAAGCTTTCTGCCTCAGCCTCCTGAGAAGGTGGGACAGCAACTGCACCCATCAAGTTCCGTGTCTTTCCCCTCCTCCTCCTCCTCCTCCCTCCTCCTCCTCCTCCTCCTCCCTCCTCCTCCTCCCTCCTCCTCCTCCTCCTCCTCCTCCTCTGTATCATTATATAGCCTTGGCTTGCCTGAACTTACAATGTAGACCAGGCTGGCTCAAATGCACACATACCTGCCTATGTATCTCAAACTCTTTTTGAAAGAGCTATTTTTATTTATGCATATGCGTTTGTGTGAACACATACCATGTGCTTGCAGATGTCTGTGGAGGTCAGCAGAAGGTATCAGATTCCCCCGGAGTTGGAGTTCAGCGTGGTTGTTCGTGCTGGGAATCAAATCCCAATCCTCTCCCCGCTGGAAGAGTAGGAAGTGCTCTTAACCAATGAACCTTCTCTCAAGACAACTGTCCACATTTCATTTATTTGTGTACTTATTTTGTGTCTTTATGCATGCAGGGGCATATATCTTCCATGTGGATTCTGAGGCTAGAACTCAGGCTGTCAGGCTTGGCGGCAAGTGCCTGTACCTGGTGAATCACCTCACTGGCCCCTCTCATTACTTTTAATTTTATGTTTTGGCTGCATATGAATATAGGTATGGGGTGTCGGTGAAATGAGAACATTTCTAAGACAAGCATATGTAGCAAATTCGCCCCCCCATAACCACGGAAGAGAGTTAACAGCACCCTCTAGAGAGTTATCTACATTATTTGGTATAAGGTATGTGACTGTCTTAGTTATGCATGTATCTACACACACACACACACACACACACACACACACACACACACACACACACACACACACACACACACTTTCCGTGTCTTTGCTACCAAAGGATGGCAATTTACAACAGTGGGGTTTGTAATTCAAGTACTTGGGAGGTGGAGGCAGGCTATTAGGAGTTCCAGCCTAGGTTTCAGAGTCCCAGAAGAGACCGAGGGATGCAAGAGGACGGGAAGAGGAAGGGGCAAGGAGGAAGGGAGAAGAAAAGAGACTAAGAAGAGGGAGAGGCGCCCGGAGGTAGTTGGTCCCCACCCCGCGTCCGTGGGAACGGCCCCGCCCGCCTCTGTGACGTCATCTGGAACCCGACGAGGCGGGGCGGCTGGCCCAGGCGGCTGGAGGGTCCTTGTGGGGCCGAGATGAGCGAGGGAAGCACGGGGGACCCGAGCCGCGGGTCCAGCCGGCAGCGGGCCGTACACCCAGGTAGGACGCGGCGGGACCGGGCTGAGGGAAGGCGGGGTGACCGCCCTGGCTCTCCGCGGGGGATCGCTGCGGGGAAAGCGGTGGGCAGCGGACCTGCCCGGCGAGGAGGCTCCTCGCCCTGTCTACCGAGCTGGGGGAGGCAGCCCTCCCTTTCCACACGACGACCCTTGGACCCAGGGCAGCCTCTAGATCGCCGTGGTATCTGTTCTGTAAAGAGATAGTGGCAACCTGCCTGCCCTACAAGCTGGCCTCGAGTCACTTGCCCCTGGATATTCCTTTTAGATCCACTTGGAAGCCATTCTGTCTCTGGTCTTTATTGCTGTGTGAATTTTGTCAAGTGCTTTGCCCTCTCTGAGCCTCAGATTGGCCGAGAAACAGCGAAATAACCGATAAATGCCCCATACAGCCCTGGTCATAGTGAGACTATAGTCAATGTTAGCAGGGAGATTTTCTTTTTAGTTGTGTTAAGCATGCAGTCAGTTATACAGCGTCCTAAGATTTTACAGAAATGTGTAAAGACACCGCCCCGTAGATACAATAGAGCTGCCAAACCCCTCAGGCAGGCTTCCTTGTAGTTTGTATTTGTTTTGTTTCTGCCCTGAGCCAGACCTCACAATGATATCTGTAGACGAGTTTCAGTGTGAGATTGTATCTACCAAGGCAAAGCTTAGCATGCTGCAAGGATATCGAAGCAGGCTTTGGGCCCTTCACTTTGGATTGTTTTCAACATCAAGAAGAAAGACCCCAATCCTGGAAAATGCTCTTGAATCAGGAAAAAAATCAGGCTAGGCTCTATGATAGTTCTGTTCTCGCTCAGTCCTTGTATTGCTGATGTCAGCTTCTTTCAGCCCAGTAGCAGTCAGAGGCTGCAGTGTGACTGGGCTAGAATCCCCCAGTGAGGGCAGGCCTTGCATACCAAGTTCCAGGATTCCATCCCAGCACTGTGAAAGCCAGGGGTCTTTCTGGCTGGCTCGCATTGATCGTCCTCTTAGTCCAGCACAAGCTGTTACACTGTTGCCCATCGCTCATCTCAGATCTTTGCTGAGAGTTGAAGTGCTACTAAGCAACTCTTGGGCCCCTATGACTGAACCACTGTCCCACCCCCTTGGATTCCTACTTTTTTGCTTGATTTGTAACACTGAGGATTGATCTCAGGGCCTTACACGTTCCAGACAAGAGCTCTCCTTCTGAACTACATTCTCCAGCCTTCTTTTACATTTTAAGCTTTGTTTTGTTTTGTTTGACACAATCTTACATAATCCAGGCTAGGGTTGGACTCCTACCTCTGCCTCCTGACGCTGGAAGTACAGGTGTGTGCCAATACCTCTGGTTTTGTTTGTTTTTAAATTTTGAGACATTGTCTTGCTGCCCAAGCTGGTCTTCATCTTATGATCCCACATGCCTTGGCATCCTGGGATACAGGTCCCTACTGCCAGCCCCAGGCAGATGCTGTTTTCTGATCTCCTTATATAGCAGCATAAAGTGGGGCCTCTTTGGAAAAGGACCCCACAGTGGCATGGTATGCTGTATGTGAGCAGCTAGGCCACAGTGTGTGCAGTCAGGAGTGAACCCTCTGGAGGTCTCTGCCCCGAGTTCTTACAGTAAGGTTGTAGTCAAGGGGCATCTGCTTTTGCAGTTGCCTGCACTTTTGCCTTGGGATAGAAGGTCCTTCCCACTATGTCCTGGTCATGTGGGGTGACCCAACTTTGCTGGCAGAGGCCTCTCTTCCTCTCTGCCTGGGCCTCCTCAGGGCTGTTTGTGCTGCCCCACAACATGGCCCGTGGCCTTCCGTGAGCAGATGACTTCAGAAGAGCAGGCCAGAAGCTGTTGTGTCCTGTGTCCATTTGAAGTCCACACCACGTTTCTGCAGTAAGTCCTTGGTCACGCAGGTGTCCTTGCCCAGAGTGCCGGGTGCTGGGTTTGAATGTGAACACCCGGATGCTGGAAACATGGCTCTATGGGGCCGTCTTGGGGCCAGTGGCAATGCTATGAAATATTAACTGTTGTCATTTATGGCTGTGCCTCCTTGTGCCACTGGGCTCCTGGAAGGTGGCCTCAGTGGCTCACCAGTGTCTAGCACACTCTGACGATAGTATTTGTATAGATGCCCTTCTCTACTGGTTCCTGTTTTCACCCACATTCCTCCCATGCCCACTTGATGGTACTGTTCTGCGCTAGACCCTGTCCTTCTACCTTGGGGGCCATGACCTTCCTTACAAGGTACATATATCTCTTCTCCTCCTTCAGGGTCACTTCTTCTCAGAAGCCCTCCTTGACTCCCTATTCCAGGTTGGACTCTGTGCCTGCTGTATGCTCTTGAGGTCCCCTGGCATGGGGAGGGATTCTTGCTATCCTTGACTTAATGAATTTTTGTTTTGTTTCAAATAGTTTGTTATGCAGCTCAGGCCTGCCTGGGACTCACTGTGTAGACCAGGCTGGCCTCAAACTCTGAGATCTACCTCTCTCGCCTTGCAGATGCTAGGATGGAAGGAATAGGTCACCATGCCTAGGTGTGTTATCAGAATTTAAGTGACCTCTACTTCCCTTCACTTCTTTTGCATGGACTCATTTAAAAGTAGGCAAACCTGAAAGATTGGTCCAACCCCAGACAATGGGGCGGTGGGGGAAGATACAGTCACCACCTGGGTCAGAATAAAAATGAAGCGGGCTTCCTGTGCTGTGCGTCTGCTCTCCCAGTTTCGGTCTTGGTGCATCCCTTTTACAAAAAGGATTGTCTCGCCAAGCTACTTTGTCTACACACTCTTCTGTGTGACCACTTATTCACAACGTTTCCTTTCTCCCCCTTCCCTCTTCCTTTCCCCCCTCCACTCCTCCTCTTCTCTTTCCTTCTTGGAGGTGTGGTCACACATGTTCAGCTGTTGTTCATCAGCATGGAGTGAGGCAGAAGCATGCTCCCTGCCCGCCAGTGAGAACCCACCCTGCATGCCTCATTCCCAGTGTGAACCCTCTCTGCAACTCCCCTCCCCAGTGTGAACCCTCTCTGCAACCCCCATCCCCAGTGAGAACCCACCTCTTGTCTCAGGAGAATGGTTTCACTGGGGCTGACTGGCTCCAGCGAATTTCCATTATCCCCACAGAGCCTCCACCCCATCCATCTGTGCCTTCCCTCACCTCAGCCTCACGCAACCAGCCCACTCCTACCTCTGTCTGGATCTCCAATCTAGACACTAATATGAGTGCTTAGTGGCTTCCTCTTGGCACATCATTAGAAGTCATCCAGGGTCACATGAAATAGTGCTTCATCCCTTTTCATGGGTGGCTAATATTCCATTGTCTGTTGGGTCCCGTTTTGTGTATGCACACATCCACTGATGGACATCCAGGCTGACTCAGTCCTTGGATCCTTGTGAAGAGGGTTGCTCACCGCACATGTGCGTAGCTTTCTTGTTGGAAAACCTTGTCCTATCCCTCCTTTCTTTCCCCCCTGTATTCCAGACAGGGTCTTAGAGTGTAGCCAGGTCTAGCCCTGAACCTACCATCCTCCTGCCTGTCACTCAGTGCTGTACTATGCCTATCTACATCAAAGGGTTTTATTTTTCTTAAATAGATTTGAAGACCCAATGAATGGAGAACTCTCCATTTTGCTGCTTAGGTGGTGAAGCCACATGGTATCACCTTTGGAGAACAGAGAGGCACATCAGGGCTGTGTGTTATGCTCATAGGCCAGGCAGGGCACCCAGCTTCTCAGGGATCACCAGGAGTTTCCTTGTTGAGATTCCTATCCATCAACACCTGTCAAACACAGGTGAAGAAGTCATTCCAGCCACCTAGACCAGCCGGGGAGATTAAAGTTAACTTTCTTCTTCTGTCTCGATGACAAAGGATTCCAGTTTGGATGACTAGCCTTGGGCAAGAGAAGTTCTGTGTGTATGCCTTGCCTAGTAGCTGGGACATGAGATTCTGAGTCTGGGACATGAGATTCTGAGGCAAGGTAATTTGGGATATTGTCCCAGAGCCCCAACAGCACTACTGTTTTTGCTTGGTCTTTGTAACACTAACAGCATGAGGTTTGTGACGGGCCATTATGCCTGGGCTTCTGCAGATATACCATCAGGCATTTGTGTAGACTTCGCTTCTTCTTGAGTCAAGTCTACTACACCACAATAAACAGCCATTGGCCTATGGTATTTATGTCTTTCCTTATCTGCTGAGCCCATTCATCCGGTGAGTGACCCACAGCTCTTCTAGGTTTCTGAGGAGGGTGGAATGTTCTGGACAAGGCGGGAGATTCCTTGAGCCTTTTTCAGTCAGGGATCTCTTGGGGACTGGTTCTCTTGAGCTATTTTTGCCCCTCTGTCTGGAGGAGCCCAGCTCTGCCCAGCAACTGCAACCCAGATTAGAGATGGCTTTCTTTGTTTTTTCAGGAAGTGAAAACATCGGAGGGAAATGTCTCTGCAGGGTTGTGACTTTGTTGCAAGCCGGCTGCTCTCCCAAGGAGGGTTGTTTGCGTCTGAGACCACCCAATCAAACTGGGCTGTGCATTTGGGGTTCCCTCCCAGAAGTAGAAGGAGGGAGATGGGTCAGCTCTAGTCAGGCCCTTGGGCTGACCTGGAGAGCCAGCCTGCAAGAGACAGCCCACAGAACTCCAGGTCGAGGGAGTATACAGTGGAGGGAAAAATGGAAAGAAAATCCAAGGGAGCCTGACTGCTGGGAAAAACATTACACAAAGGCTGGGTGGACAGGAAGTAGGTATGCAGTAGTAGCCCAGATGTGAAGTGACTCTGAGCTGAGGCAGGAGGATATAAAGAGTGTTTGGGGCCCTTTGTTGGCATCTGAGGTGGGAGGAGCCTTCAGGGGGAGGGGACCTGAAGGGCAGAGGGTAGGAGGGGCTAGTTAAGAAATAGAGAGGTATAGGCACAGGAGGCGTAGGTAGGAGGGGCAGCACACTGTGGCCACCCAGGAGCAGAGACATTCCCAAGGTCCACCTGAGGGATATTATTGAATACTTGTTAGGTGCCAGGACACTGCCATATTGGACG